AGCACTGGCTGCTCTTCCAGAGGACCTGGATTTAATTCCCAGCACCCACGTGGCAGCTCAGAGAGACGAGTCAGGTGCCCAGGATTTAGTTCCTAGAATCTGGTGGATCAAAACTGTATGTAAGTAATTCCATTTCCAAGAGTCCTCTGGAAGAGAGCAGTCCATGCTCTTAACCAATCAATGAGCCATCTCTCCAGCCCAAGCCATTATGTTTTATTCAATTAGAAATTCATTTTGGAAGTAAACACAAATGGAGTAAAGGGTAAACTGTGTGACTTAATGGGCCACACTACAGCTACCACAGAAAGATTCTTCTTCTTTTTTGGTTGTTTTTTTCTTTTAAGTTTGGCTTTGATTGGGGGGGGGGTTGCAAGGGCAGAGGGCAGATGGATGTAAGGAGATGGGGTGATAAGTGGGATCTGAATACATGATGTGAAATTCACAAGAATCAATAAAAGTTAAAAAAAATTAGTGTCTAGCATTGTGACAAGATGCCTTTGATCCCAGGAGGTAGAAGTAGGTAGATCTCCAAGAGTTCAAGGTCAACCTGGGCTATATAGCTAGTTCCAGGCTAGCCAAGGATATATAGTGAGACCCTATCTCAAGAACAACCCCCAAAACGTGCAAATTAGAGTCAGGGTTGATGTCTGACATAGGAATACAAAACTTAGCAATAATAATTATAATATTATCAAGCTGTTATCTGTGGAGCATTGACCCTGTGTCAGTATTTTATAGATCTCTGTAGGTGTTTTTGATGTGGACAATCTTTTTAAAACTTTTAAAATTATTTACTTGTGTATACATGTGTGTCTTTGGGACGGTGCCCTTGGAAGTCAGAAGAGGACATTGGAATCTCTAGAGCTGAAGTTGCAATTAGTTGTGAGCTACCTGACGTGGGTGCTGCGATGTGAACTCAGGATGTCTGGAAGAACACAAGTACTGTTATTCTCTGAGCCATCTCTCCCGCCCCTGTTATAGATACTCTTTATACAAATAAAGCAGGAGAGATGAGAAAACTGGGATACAGAAAAATGAAATTAAGCTGGACATGGTGGTGCATACCACTGGGGAGGCTAAGGCAGGAAAGGCTTGGTAAAGCCAGCCTTGAACACGAGCTAATCTGAGATTCACCTGGGAGTGCATAGTGAAACTCTGACTTTAAAAACACCCAACTAATAAACCCCCACAAAGCTGGTATATGCTTATAACCCTATCCCTGAGAAGCCCGAGGCAGGAAAATTGCTCTAATTGGTATATATTATACAGGGATACATAGCAAGTACCAAGCCAGCCAGCCAGGTCTACATTGTAAGACCAAGAACCTATCTGAAAACAAAAACCCTATAACTTTCTTTTTCTCATGAATCACCATTTAAGATTAAAGTTTTTATATCATGTTGGCTTAAACAGAGAATTTTAGGGGCTGGAGACATAGCTCAGAGGTTAAGAGCACTGGCTGTTCTTCCAGAGGTCCTGAGTTCAATTCCCAGCAACCATATTGTGGTTTACAACCATCCATGAGGAGATCTGGTGCCCTCTTCTGGTCTGTAGGCATACATGCAGGCAGAACACTGTCTACATAATAACAATACAAATCTTTTAAAAGAAAAAACAACAGGAATCTCGGGGCTGAAGAGATAGCTGAGTGGTTAAAAGCCCTTGCTATGAACCTGAGTTCAGATCACAGCGCCCTTATAACAGCCAGGCTGGCCCACTGCACCTGTAATGCTAACTTGTGGAGAGCAGAGCAGGAAGATCGATGTTACTTGCTGGCTGACAGCCTTGCTGGAAAAAATGAGAATACTAGTTTCGGGAAGAGACTGAGAGACCCTGCCTTAAAGACAAAAAGAAAAAGGTGGAGAGGGATAGAGGAGGATGAGGATGCCCAGTGCTCTCCTCTGGTCCCCACAGGAACACCCACACATAGACCACACTCAGGAGTACACACCCAGATCTTCAGGTGCAGTATAGGCCTTATCGAGGAAGGAAAAGAATACATTATGATGTAAATTTATGTAAACAATCCATCTGCAAGTTGATGTAGATTTGCTTTGTGGTTTTGCTTTAACCTTTAGTTTCAACTTCACCTGTGCTTTCCAGTGACTCTAATGACATGAAAGCTGTACATGGATTTGAGCTAAGTTCTGCTTTTTCTCTAGATTTATTGTCTATGTTTTTTATGTATATGGGTGTTTTGTCTACATATAGATCTGCACACCAGAAGAGGTCATTGGATCCCATGGGACTGTAGTTACAGACAGTTGTGAGTGTCATGTGGTTGCTGGGAATTGAACTCAGGACCTCTGGAAGAGCAGCCAGTGCTCTTAACTGGTAAGCATCCTCTCTAGCCCCTTGAGTTAAGTTTTTATAGTGAATATTTAGCCTAGGAAAGCTATTTCTTCAGTATAAAGGGAGCAAATTAGAGGCTTTTAAACTTTTCGTCTGTTTGAATTCGCTCTCTCTCTTTCTCTCTTTGTAAGCAGACTGGATGTGAAATTTATTACTGAACAAGGTTGGTGTCACCTAAATGGGTTCCTGCAGCAAGGAATTTAAGGACATCTTTCTCCTTCATCTGCAGGACATCTAGGGCTCCGGACATTGGGTAAGTTTCCCTTTAAGTTACCACAGGAATCAAGAACAACACTGAAAAAAGAAAGAAAGAAAGAAAGAAAGAACAACACTGTATGGACCCGCCCAGTCTCCCTCTCTCTCTCTCTCTTTTTTTTTAAACATTGATCAGTTTATTAAAGAGGGGAGAGCAAGAGAGAGAGATGAAGAGAAAGAGAGAAGGTAAGAGAGTAAGAGCCGTCCCAGTCTCTTAACATGGCCCTAGATAGCCTGGAACTCACTATGTAGTCCAGGCTCTTAATGGCTGGGCCTTCTCTCCAGCACCATTTTTAGGAGTCTTACTCTGAATGCATCTGTGTGAAAATTGTAGCATATAATAATAAATAATTATGGCAACAAAATTTTTGGTATCAGCTTAAATATATATTAGGCTGCAAATAGCAATTAGCAGGTTCCATCTTCTTCTTTGACCATAAGAAAGCCATAGAACTTCTGTGCGCGTCTCTTCTCTGGGCCTGGCTAATACTTGCTTCCAGCGTTGTGTAGATGAGACATCCTGCACCAAGTGTCCTGAACTCCTTAAAGGATGGTGTCAAAGCAGCAAGGGGCAATACTGTTATTAGAGTGATGACAGCAATCAGAGAGAAAAGGAGGGAATAGATCTCCGTTTTCTTCCTTGATCTTGTCATCTTTCTTTCCACGTGTCTTTTCCTGTTCCCTGGGTTACAGTGGGCTTTGGGAATGTCCTTGCTTGGATGCAAGAAGAGTGCCTTGAGCCCTCTGGAACTGTACTCATCAGAACCTTTGTTCCTTTATTCTTTCAGTGAAGACTGTGTGACACCAGTGTGCTGTGTGGTTAGGGAGCGCAGGACCCACCAATAGAAGGCTGAGGAGAAGCAACCATGGACTGTGTGCAACTTCACCCACTAGTTTACTCCTCCACAGATCCCACAGCCTGGAGCCCCAGCCCTTCTGACCACCTTCCATGAGAAAGGAACGTGAATCTTGAAGCCAGTGCTTGCCTGTTGAAGGCCAGTTCTCTAGAATACTTGTGAAGCTGCACCTTCCATGAGAAAGGAACGTGAATCTTGAAGCCAGTGCTTGCCAGTGTGCACCCGGTTATCCGGAACACTTGTGAAGCTGTCCAGCGGTGTGCACCGGTTATCCGGAGCACTTGTGAAACTGTCCAGCGGTGTGAACCGGTTATCCGGAACACCGGTGAAGCCGTCCGGCAGTGTGCACCCGGTTATCCGGAACACTGGTGAAGCTGTCCAGCAGTGTGCACCCGGTTATCCGGAACACTTGTGAAGCTGTCCAGCGGTGTGAACCGGTTATCCGGAACACTTGTGAAGCTGTCCAGCGGGGTGCACCCGGTTATCCGGAACACCGGTGAAGCCGTCCGGCAGTGTGCACCCGGTTATCCGGAACACCGGTGAAGCCGTCCGGCAGTGTGCACCCGGTTATCTGGAACACTTGTGAAGCCGGCCGGCAGTGTGCACCCGGCTATCTGCATCCAGCAGCTATGTCCTTCAGTGCCACCATTCTCTTCTCCCCTCCCAGTGGCAGTGAAGCCAGATGCTGCTGCTGTACTTGTAAGAGTGAGACTAGCCAGGGCAGCTCGGGCTCTCAGGGTGGGAATCCTCCTGCCAGCACCCCTATCACAGTGACAGGACACGGCCTGGCAGTTCAGAGCTCGGAACAGCTCCTGCATATTATCTACCAGCGGGTGGACAAGGCAGTGGGTCTGGCTGAGGCCGCCCTGGGTCTTGCTCGGGCCAACAATGAGTTGTTAAAACAGCTCCAGGAAGAAGTGGGTGAGCTACGGCAGGGCAAAGTGTGCACCGCTGATGAAGATGGGGAGCACCGAGCCCGCAGCCCACCACCCGAAGAGCCTGGACTGCTCAAGGGGAGTCCGGGGGAAGCCTGCAAGACTCTGTCTGCCATGGAGGAGGAGTGTGACAGCGTGGGCAGTGGTGTGCAGGTGGTGATCGAGGAGCTGAGGCAGCTGGGGGCAGCGGGGGGCCGCCTCCACCGTGGGGCAGGGGCCCTTGGGCTTTTTCGCGGCCCCCCAGAGAGATCTGCGGCTCCCAGGATGTGCTCTGGCTGCGGTAGAGGGAGCCCCTCTGCTCAACCCCGTAAGTAACTCCCAGTATGGTTGATCTGCCCGTGCCTCTGGAGATCCTGATCATTTGCCTTCCTCTCCTTTACTCTTTAAGCCTTTCTTTCACTTGTATCTGTGGTAAAACAGAAGAGCACCCACCAAGAGTCCTCCACCTTCAGGGACAGCCAGCACTCCTGCTTCCACCCTGAGCCTTTTTGGCAGGAGGTCACTTTTGGTGCAAGTGGTGAGGTGGTGCTTCCCACCTTCTCAACAGCTCCAACGTGGCATCTTTTCCACAGCTGTCTGGCTGCTCCTCCAGCTCTGCTGTTCCTGGCCAGAGTGCCTGCCGTGCACAGACGGCTCATTCATATTTTATCACGGCCTTCAGCTTGCCAAGATGGGCTTCAGTACAGAGATGGGAGTGTGGAGGGGAAGAGGGGAACAGTGCAAGGAGAAGCATATTAAAGGCAGGTGAAACTGGGCAGTGGTGGTGCACCCTTTAATCCCAGACTCAGGAGGAAGAGGCAG